AAAGCCAGGAATCAAAACTGTATATTTGGAAATTTAATGGCTTTTTAATTATTCCAAGTCATTATAGCAGATAGATAATTAGTACCCTTGATGTTTAAATATATTTTCACATTAATTTATAAGAAATCTTTAAATAGACTATGTTTTGTAGAAAATGAAATCTTAGGTAGTCTCCTATTATTTACAAAATATAATTTATTTAAAAGTACACAGAGACTCTACACAGGACTTAATAGGTAGTTGTTAAATGTTTAAAAAACATGATTACTTTTATGAATGTATTTCTATTAAAGATGTTTTCTTGGAGAAGGTTCAGCAAACTTTTGTTATGTGTACTAGTAATAGAGATTAATGTATTGATGAAGTACAACACTCAGCCCTTCTTATTTCATAATCTTGATTCACTCAACTTTTAATAACTATTTATTTGTTACCTTGTGTGAGGTGCAATGAAAATGTAAAACATTAGTTAATTTTATCTAGTTAATATCTAGTCTAATTTGATTTATTTGGGTAACTGCTAAATTATGCATTAACATTTTAAAATGAAAAAAAAGAAAGTATTTGGGTTGCTTTAGCTAAATTTAGACTACAGGTCTTCTGTTACATTTAATGTACTAAACACTGCAAATGTCACTTTATGAAATTAAATTTTTATGCTTTAGATGATTTTAATATTAACTTGTAGATAGATTAAATCAAGCTGATTTAATATATCCATCACTTCACCTTCTTACCATTTTTTATGTCGAGAATATTTCAAATATACTCTTTTAGCAATTTTGAAATATATATATATATATAGTTTTTTACTAACTGTGGTCACCTTGCTACTGCAATAGATCACTAAAACTTATTCTTCCTAACTGAAACTTTACATCCTTTGTCAAATCTTGTCATCTGAAATTACTTATGTGTGCATTTGAATACAGAGTGATAAGTTTCTTATTTTACTCATTGTCCTTGTGTTCAGTTTGGTAAAATGGAATATGAATTTGAGTGTAACTGGTATACTCAGAAAAACCAAGCAACAAGAGGGAACATTTTAAATTAACTTGAGGATTTGTATAAAGATTTTATGCTTGGGTTCCTTTACTTTTCTAGACTTAACAAAGATTCAAAATTATTTAATAATCCTTAAAATGTTTAAATTATGATTATATTAATCTCTCTACTTTCTATAGATAACATATATTGTTAAACAAGTAAATTCTCTTTTGAAGTTTTCTATTTTCTTATACTTTACTTATTCCAAAAGACTAGTCAATTTTAATTTTTCATCTCCCTCTCTGAATGTAAGAATGTCTTTTATATTTATAGTTTAAAAACCACAGGTGGATAAAAAGTAACAAACACAAGGTCTTTCTATTCAATTGTCTTCGGTAAAAGTGATGTAATCTCAAAAACAATTGGTTAACACATTTATCCCCCTGTTAAACTACGCGTAAGGCTGAGGAAATATTTTTGTGTTACACTGATCCTGTAATAAATGGGCTGATTTAATACTGTTGGTTGCAACTTACAGCATTTTTATCTACTTTAAAGTTAGGAACTTCATGGTTATTTTGGCATTTTTCCCGTGAATTAAAATTAGAATAATGTAATTAGTCTGTAAAATTCAAAATGCTACATTTACTAATAATGGAATAAAACCTAAATTATATTATGTTGAGGTCAATGATTGGTTCGCATGAACTATTTTCTTTTCTATATCTTCCTCTTTTAAAATAAATACAGTTTTCTTCCTACTGCAGAAGTATCAGATTCTTGCAGCATCCATGACACTTGTAAGCATTTAGTGGTCAGACACCACTACATATCCTTCAAATGATGTGGCCCAGTGAAGCTGGAAGGTGTCATCACGGAGCCAGGCAGCCTGGTATCTCAGCCATCCACCAGGACAGAGCCAGCAGGCCCTAGCTGGTGTGCTGAATCTAGACTAAAGCGGGAAATGGATTTTGCATTTTGAAAGTCAACTCTTCTAACATTAAATCTTAAGACATACCTATTAGATAAAAGTGCATTGTGCTTCAAAAATTATTTACTGGATCAAATTTATAAAGCTTATCTGCCAAAATTACTCGTAGAATAAGTTAAATCTTAATTTTATTATCCCTCTGGGTTTCTGAATTTATACTAGATTATACATATTTTCAAAAGAATGAGTAAATGTATGTTCAGGACCATAACTGTGTTGTCTGAATTACTGACTATGTATGATACATGCTAAATGAAGTATACTTGTAGGTCATTTAAAAGTGATAAAAATTTAAATGACAGAATATTAATCACCAATGCCCATTGCCCATCACACTGAGTTTGCCATTTTGATCTTTAGACAAATGAAAAATTCCAATAAAATAAAAATATATTTCATTTTTTTTCCTCATTGGCCTCTTCTGCTCCCTGTTGAAGCACACAGGGATTTAGATGTTCTTGTTTCTTCTATTGTCCTAATATCATTTTTGACACCACGATTCATTAACTCACCTCCCATAGATGTTAGAAAAATCAACTTACAGGGTTTTATTACAAGTTCAAGATTTCTCATGCATCCTTTTGGCCTCTCCTTAATACTAGGGCTGCCTAAAAAAGTGTAGAGAACATCTTCCATTTCTTGAAACTTTAGTTACCTAGGTCTGGTGGAAACATAATGGAAAACACACACACACACACACACACGCATGCACGCACACACACACACACGCACACAATTTAATTCTATAATGCTGCACAAGTTGGACCCCATCCTTTAGATATCATTCTGAATGGGAAAATGCCCTGCTAGGTTTTCAAACCATCTACTCTGCTAATGTAATACTTTGGTGGTTAGGCTGGAGTAGCTGGGCATCTGGAATAATGATGTTTTATCATGAGAAACAGAGAGGATACTGTTTCTCTTTTCTAAAAAGAGAAAGAAACCCTTTGCTAGGGCTCATTAAAAATGGTTTTAAAATCGGAGCCAATAAAACACAATTGTCAATTCCTACAACCTTTTTACCTCAGCAGCATTTTAACAAGGCATCATTTCTCTCTCCCCTGAAATCCTACTTGCAACACACACAGCCACATTTCTAACTAGCATCAACAGAAGCAGCAACAACTCCCCAACTTCTTTGTCACCGGTGAGCAGGCACACAGACCAACTGGAGATAGAAGCCTCTCCATTCCCCCAATCTCAATTTTCAACTGCACTCCTCCCTGAAATGGGAGTTGCTAGGCAAGATTCACCCTATCACCCTGAAATCTCTTGCTTTGCTCTCCTTTAAAAGTGAAAAGGAAAGGCTTTCCACAACATAGAAAAGTTTGCCTGGGCACACGATACCAGCATTTCCAATAGTGACTCTAATAGACAAAGCATTTTGAAGCTCTGACATCCACAGGGAGCAGATCCCAGTCATGAAGAAAAAACTTGAGTGTGTTACAGCAAGACCATGAAAGCCTTCCTTTGCCAGCATCACCTGGGCTCTTCTGCTCACCCAAGGCAGAACTGAGGAGGGTTGGGGTGGGCATTCCTCACCACAGGATTCTTTTTCTTGAGCAAGCCCATCTTGAGATTTGTAGAAAGGGCTGGTTTGGAGAGACTTCCAAAGCTGTACTTCTAGCTGTCCTGGCCTTTGGCCCCACCTGCCTGTCAATTCCAGTCTGAGTCCACAGCTCCAATGTTTAGGGCTCTGGGGACATCTAGAACCCGGGCTTTGGAGCGCTCAGGGATGCTATTAGGCCAGTTCCCTATTGACCTTTCAGGGACTCTGAAGTCAACTTTCCCCACACATTCTGAATTGTTTGCGTTTGTTTTCATTCTGCCAGAGCCTCCCGCCCAGCTCACCCATCTCTCCCCTCCTCCCTGCCCCCTCCCCTCCCTCTGGCCTCTCTGGCTCTCCCCACCTACCCCCACCCCCACCCTCCTCTTTGTTGTCTCCTACCTGCTGGCCAGGCTCTGCCTGCAGTGCTGCCTGAAGGGCATCAGGTGGTAGTTCATGGCGTCCAGCAGCAGCTTCTGGCAGACCGGATCGGTTCTCATGAAATCCACTGACTGGACCCGCTCCACCAGTTCCGGGGCCGGGATAAGGGCGAAGCGGAGGCGCTTCATGAGGTCAGGCGCGTATTGCATGCGGGTCTCGCGGTCGTGCTCCAGCCACAGCACGGACATCTGGAAGAGCGCCAGCTCCGACTCCACGGGGGGCGGCAGCGAGTCCAGCAGGGCGCGCATCTCCTCGAAGTTGAGCAGCAGCACATCCTCTACCAGGTACTTGTTGGCCAGCTTCTTGGTCTCCTCCAGGCCGTGCAGTGCGGCGATCTTGCACACCTGCTTGTAGTTCTGCACCGAGATCTGGTCGTTGAGGAACTGCACGCAGAGCTTGGTGACCTGGGGGATGTGCAGGATCTTGCTGACCGACAGCACCTCCTCCACTGTGTCCAGGGACAGGGTCACGTTGGCCGTGTAGAGGTACTCGAGCACTAGGCGCAACCCGATGGACGAGCAGCCCTGCAGCACCAGGTTGTTGATGGCCCGGGGGCTGGTCAGCAGCTTGTCGTCGGGGGAGGAGGAAGGAGTCCCGGGCTCCTCCTGCGGCGGCGGCTGCTGCTGCTGTGACGGCTGCTGCTGCTGCGGCGGCTGCTGCTGGTCCTTGGGGGCCCCCAGGCCGTCCTGGCCGCCGACCCCTCCCCCGAGAGGGGGGTGGCTGGAGAAGAGCGATCGGAAGTACTGCGAGCAGGAGGCCAGCACGGCCTTGTGGCAGTGGAACTGCTGGCCCTGGGCCGTCAGGGTCACGTCGCAAAACAGCTGCTTCCTCCACAGCAGGTTGAGGCCGTGCAGCAGGTTGTCGCTGTGGCTGGGGTCGAAGGTGGAGGTCCTGTCCCCGGATCTGGACATGGCGAGCTGACTCGGTGCACCTGGCTTTAAATCCTCCTCCAACCTGGCAGACAGGGGTGGGGGATGGGAGTGAGGGGAGCAGGGTGGTGGAGGGGGTGGGGTGTGGTCGGGGTGGGGAAGGGTGTGGAGGGGAGGGGAGGGCGGAGAACGAGAATCAAGGCTCAGCTCGGCTCCCTCCGGGCGCGCTCCGGACCCCGACCCTCGGAGGAAGGTCCAAAGACTCTGGATCCGTGAGCGCCACCAGAAGGGCCCAGTCCGGGGTCCTGGCGCGGATTCTGCTCCCTGCGACTCCTCTCGCCACCTCCCACACACTTCGTCCCTCACTTTCCTAAAACCACCTCAGCTCGGCTCTTGGCAGCAACAGCAGTGGCAGCAGCGACGGCAAAGTGGCGGCTGAGGCCGAGGCACCTCGTGGGCTCGAGTCCATGCCGGGCCGGATGAAGGGAAAGGCCGGGGAGTGGGGAGCCGGGGGTGCCCTGAAAGCTCAGAGGCGACCGACGGCGAAGCTTCCAGGTCAACTTGTGCCAGAAGCTTTGCTTTTCGCGGTTGGCCCAGTTTGGGGGAGGGGGTAGGAACGGGGGCCAGACAAGATGGGAGAATCTTAGCTCTCCAAAAGCTGGGACCCCCTTCGATTATCCATGCTGCCCCGAGAAACTCCTAGGCTAATAGTCTGAGGGAGGAGATAAAGCCCTTTCTTCTCCCGGGAAAGTGCAGCGGTGCGCGGTGAGGACCCGCTCAGTGGACTCGGCAGAGGCGGGAGCTGTCCTTATCAATTCGAGCTCATTTCCCTCAGCCGGGCCCTGCCCGCTTCCCTGCTTCGCAAACTGTTGGCTTCCCGTCACCACTCAGTTTGGCTAATTTTCCAGAGACGCCTTTAAACCTGGCAGGAGAATCCTTCCACCACCACCACCCCCACCCGGCGGCCCCCTCTCCCGGGTCTCCCTCATTTCAAAGCGCGGAAGTTCAGGCATCTATCTCCCCTTCCAGCGCGGGGCGGCACCGAGGACCCAGGGGAGGAAGTGGGGCTGCTGGGGCGCGTTTGGAGCGGGATCCGGGAGCGAGGGTGGTTTCTCCCTCCCGGGCACCAGTCGCAGTCTCTTTAACTCCAGTAACTATGAGAAGTTCAAGTTAGAAGGCAGGTATTGGGGGAAGGTTGGGGGCTGTGGAACGAGGCGGTTGGGGGGGGCGCGCAGTGGGGTGCAGGGTCTCTGCGCCCCATCTAGCGTCGTCGCCGGCAGCCGCAACTCCCTTCCGACCCCCTCGATAGAGCCCCCAGCGGCCCCCCACTCGGGCACCCCCACTCCCCCGGCACTGGAACTACTTCTGTAAAAAGTCTGAGCCGCCCGCATCTAGGCGGAGGAGGGCAGGGCGGGGGAGGCGAGGCGAAATCGATACGGCCGGTCCTTAACCTGTAATTGCACCTTCCAGGGCTGAGCAGAAAGGGACCCTCTGCTCGCATCCCGCACGCGCGCCCTCCCGCCCGCCGGGGAGAGCTGCCGCCGCCGCCGCCGCCGCCCGGCTCAGAGGGATCCCGCCGGACCTGCCCCTTCCACTGCGGCTCACTCTGCCCTGCCTGGCGCCAGTCCTGGATCGCCGGCTTCCTATTTATACCGGACTGGGCTCCTTTCGACTCACTTTACCATCCTGTTCCAGGTGGACCCTACCCTCCCTCGCGCTCCCTCCCCCGGCAGCACCCCCACGCCCTCCCCCAAAGCTCTGGCTTGCCTGAAACATCTTACAGAGTCTCTCTCCCTTTAAGAGGACCCGGTCATACCTCTCTCTAGCTCTCTCCGCTTCGTTGTCCCCCCGCCCCCCCATCTTTTCCTATTCCCCTTCCTTCTTGTTCTCCTCCCTTGCCTTTCCTCCTCATCTGCTTATTTCTTGCAATAGGAGTTTTATTCTTTATGAGCGTTTGCCACACAACTACCCCCCCAACCCTTCTGAAAGACTCCCTCCCCGGCCCTTCCCCCTCCAACAACCCAAAAGACAGAACAAAATACACACAAGGCAGACACAAGGCCAGAAACTTACCTGCTCTCAACCAGCTGCAAAGTCAAGGCTCACTTAAGCTCCCCCCAAAAATCAATTGTCCTTCCTTTTTAAAGGTTTGCTCTCTCCTTGGGAGGGGGAAAAACACCTTCTGGTTCCAAACTCCAGGCAGTCACTCTTTACAATTTATTTTGTCGTACATCATTTGATCACCATGAATTAGCAACAGCAAGAAAATGTAGGAGAGGGAGAAAAGAGAGAAAGAGAGAGGGAGAGAGAGAGAGAGGGAGAGAGAGAGAGGGAGCAGAGCTTTCTGCAAGAGAAGAAGAAGAAAAAATGTACGTGTGACAAATTATGCTACCAAGAAACAACACATCATTATCCTTGGGCCTGGGGCTCAGTGAGTCGTAACGAGAGTAATAGGAAATCCACGGTTGGGGAGAGAAACGGTCGTGCTTGGCCAGTAGAGAGAGACCATACAGGGGGATGGATGCTGGAGAGACTCGCAAAATTATGGCTCAAGGCTATTGTAAAAATTGTCGAGCGTAAATGACTGCGATTTCAAACATCTTTGGAAGAAAGAAGGGAAAAAAGCGAGCCCCCCTTCCCTCCCTCTCCCTCTCTCTCCCTCTCTCTTCTCTCTCTCTATAAAGAACCGTCAAGTTTTAGTGCGCATTGCTAATTAGTCAATTTCTCTCTGCCTTCACAGGCTGGCGACTTCGCTGCTGAGCTGAAACTGCTAATTTCTGTGACCAGCTTTTTTCTTAGCTGTGATCTGGATGAATGAGTAGCTGTCTCACAGAGATGACAAAAATAAACTCTAATCCCCCCCAAAATTTCCACTACATCTTTCTCATGCATAGATTTATGATCTTCAAGCGCTCTGTGCAATATGCAAACTTTTTTTTGTGTCTGTATATATGCTGTTGTTTCCAGATTTCACTACATTGTTATGCTGCTTTCCCTTCCCCCCCCACCCCCCCCCCCCCCCCCACAACACTATGAAATGCAGAAACAGTCTGATCTCAAAGTATGCTAAGATACCACTTTATTCTGTTTGGGTATTTGGGGTTTGAATCTGACTTGGAAGACACTAGCCCTTGCCTTAAAGGTAAGTGGCTGAGGAAACACACCAGGGTGGGGGAAGTAGAGCTGGTAGCATAGAGGACAGCCCTTTGCTTTACATTTGCTTCCCATAAAGCACTATTCAAGCTTTATGATCTTATTTGAAAACACATTTTCTCTATCATTTTGTCTGGTTAAACAACTGCCTCTGAACTTCTCTGTCAGCTTTTCAACAGATAAGGTTGCAGAAGTCACATTTTTTTATTGAAAGATTATCATATTGTTGGATTTGTATTTCAGTTAGGAGTGTTTGATTTGCAGGAGCTAGAATCAAGTGCTAGGAAACCCGGCTGCTATTCACAAATGTAACCTTTCAACTTTGGAGCTCATCTGATATATAAGGGCAACCACACCGTGCTCACATTTTTGCCCCTGCTTAGCATGTAAAAGGAACCCCAGTGTGTTTCTGGAATTTTAGCTGTACCAGAGATTCATGTGCATTTTGGTAGAGGACATGTTCTCCAGACTTATCTCATGATGTATTGCACCCTTACATTTATAGCCCTGCATTTCAGTTGTCAATGGGGGTTGGAGGTGTCCAAGAAAGAAAGAAAAAAAGAAGCAGAAAAATGAAGGTATGCCCTTGAGTAAAATGAACATGAAGGAAGCTGGATATAAGCTACATTGAGCTTTGTTTGCTATTAAATATATGAATATGATTTATCCTAATTTATATGTGTTCTGATTAGTAAATTTATTAAAAATCTGTATTAGGGTACCACTGCAAGATGTCTATTCACACCCCCATCACCCTCTTTGATTTGTGAGAGATGGAAAGACACCTGCTTAGGAAAGGGGGGAAACTAAAAATTCTGAGCTTCAGAAATAGGGATTCGCCATTTACAATGATAACATTAACATGCACATGGGATATTCACTCTCAAATAAATTAAGAAGGATCAAACTGAAGCATTTAACCCTCACAAAAGCCCACCTTTTTTTTTTTTTTTTTTTTGTCAAGGTCCTAGATTATCTGAGAGTAAGACTTCTGTATTCAGATCCTGCTGAGATGCTGCATTCTCACATTTATGTTTATAATAGAAATGCCCCACTACATGATTAAATCATAGAAAAGAATTTTACTATTGTTGTTGTTTAGGGCGGGGGAAAAAAAGAACAGATTATCCAATTCTTCTGGCTCTATTATTTGTTTTTATTTTTATTTTGGAATTTACCTTCTTTGGATGTTGAAGAGGAAGAATCATGTGACTCTAAGAACCTTTTTGGAGCTCTGTGTCACTAGCAATCAAAGCTACCAAGTATGTAGAGTGTTACAAAACTCTCATACATGTAAAGTGCAATTTTTATATTATGCTTTTGATGTTGATCTTTTATGAACTCATGAAGTGTTTGGAACTAAGCCCAAAGGCAAAATAGTATTGATCACTTAAATTATGGCCACTTTCTTTTTTTATGATGAAAGAATTAAAGTATGTTTGTAGGCCTCAAAATAGCTTAGTCTCAAATTTCTATTTTATTTTTTATGGACAGGATATATTGGTCACTAATTATGATTACCAGGCTTTTTTGCTTCCAAACCAGCTAAAAGCCACATTTCAAAAATTTGAACTACCTATAATTTTAATGCTTATTTAACAACTAGGGTGGAAGGGGAAGAGAGGGGTTGGGAGCTGGTGATTCTAAAACAGCTGATGAAATGAAGTGGATAAAAACATTTTTTTCTGCATTCTAAGGTCATGTTATCTGATAATGTTTTAAATTTCAGAAAAAAATATAATTCTGGTTATTTTGTAAGCAATTAAAAAAGAATATTGATAACAAAAAGTCCCTTCATAATCTGTGCATAAACTAGCCTATATGTCATGTAAATCTCACACCTCCAGTATCTTATACTGGCTTTAACTGAAATTATTGCAGAACTCACAAATGAGATGGCACTATTTACAATAAATCTCGTTATGAAAGATTCAATTTGCAGCAATCAGATGCTAGCTACTAAGCGATTGTAAGTATTTGAATTTTATCCTACTTCACTGTTCAACATACAGAAATTGCATCTGTGTGTTTGATCTATCCTGCTGAGCACTATCAGCAGCTTGCATCTCTGCCACTATTGTTTTTAAAATGGCAGGAAGGACGTGACTAGTCAGGAGCACTGAGCAGGGTGGATTTCACTTGGCATAAGAGGAGCCAGAATCGTCTTTTTAAAAAAAATTAAATATGATCGTGTAGTCGTCTAATGCAAGCCATCTTCAGACTTCGATAGAATTATCAAAATTATTCATTAGTGAATTTGCATTTAAACCATGTACAATGGAAAGATTCTGAAACTATGGCCACTGAGCAGTCTACTAGAGCTGCCATTAGCTTCTAGCCGTCTGGTCAGCCTTCAAGGTGGCAGAGATCCAGGCCTATCAGTGGCTCCAGTTGCTCAGGATCATCTCACTGGACTGGAGGAACTGAAGATTATCTTTAGAGCAGTTCTAGAAGTGTTTTGCTGCTTAACATATAGGGGCAGCCACGCTAAAACGTTATTTTCCTCATTCTTGACTTTTCTGCTTAGGATTTATGAGTTATCACTAGATTGCATAAACATCAGAGCCTGGTATGCCCTGTGTCTTTTGGGTAGTAAACACTACTTCAATGTGATATGACCTTTAAGATTACCATCATTTGGAATGGATGGATAAAGGACGAAATTATTCCATTTTACACATGGAATAAAATTGAATAAAGAAGGATCACGTAGCTCCTTCAAAGTTAGGGAGTGGCAAAACCCAGGCACAACTCACAGATTTCTAGTTCTTTATTTTTAAATCTTAAGTAGATGTGGCCAAAGAGATCACAAAACCATCAGCACTGAGAGGCTTATTAAACAACACGAAATCCGAAATAACAATAAGAAATGGTGCTATTGGCTAACATTTAGGCAAAAGCCAATGGTTTGTTATTATTTTGCTGTCAAGCCCAACTCTGTGGCCCACATTCCAGGTTCCCAGTATTTAGCTCTAGCTTGCCTGGGCAGCTTGTTCCAGACACGTTCCACTGTTAAACCACAGCACCTATTATTAGGCTGTGTCTTTCTGAAAGGCCTTCATTCTCCACCCATAGATATCCCACTTATCTCTCAAGAGTAAACTCAGATTTCTTTCCACTATAAAACTTTTCCTGGCAACCTCCAACAGAATGATAATGGATATTACTTATTGAGTTTATTACTTCGTGGTGGACACTGTTCTAAATCCTTTAGATGTTTTATTTTCTTAATCCTCTTGCTAATCCTATGAAAGAGTATGGCAGATTGGAAAAGCTTCCACGCTTCCTGGTATACATACCACATTATAATGTGACTTTGCTGCTCCTCTCATCAAGAGTGGAATCGACTTACCCAATGATTGAATGTGAGCTGACCTTGTAACTTGCTTTGACTGATGGAATGTGTCAGAAGTGACCTTGTGCCAATTCTGAGTCTAAGCTTCAAGAGGCCTTGCATGTTTCAACTCTCCCTCTTAGAGCCCTGTCATATGCCATGTGATGAAGCCCAGGCTAGTCAGGTAGAAGATGACACACCGTGTGGACAGGTCATTCCCCAGATTGCCTGATAGCTGAACTCAGATGCATGAATGAGCCCAGCTGAGACAGGAGAACCAAAGTACTCCAAATGACAGATCCACAGAACCCTGAGCTAAATCAATGGCTGCTGTTTCAAGTCATTAGCTTTTGGGGTGATTTCTTCCATAGCCAAATTAGCTGATGACAAAAGGTACTATTATTATCATTTTACTAATGAGCAAAATGAAATGGAGAGAAATCAGTTAAATTTTTCAGAATCACACACTTTTCAAAGGTAGTGTTTAGGTTCAAACCAACACAGCCTGACTCCAGAGATTTACCATTATACTGTACTGGCCACAAAAGAAATGCCTGCCTCTAGAAAACATTTATTTCTAAAATGCAATAATAAATAAATAAATAAATAAAAGGAAACATTTATTTATTTATTCATGCATTCATTCATTCATCAAGTACATATTAAGTATTTATTGAATACCAAATACTATGCTAAACATCAAGGAAACAATGATGAATAAAACTGCGTTCTTGTCCTCAAGAGGCTTACATTCTAGTAGAAGAGACAGCAGATAAATTATCTTCAGCAAGTGAATAATTATCCTTGTTAATTGCCCTGATAAGGGTATGTATAAGCAATTACTGGAGCAGGAAGAAGCAGGTCTCTAACTTCCTCATAGTACTTATTATCTGTAACACTCTTTCAACATTTATTATTTACTGCTTTGTTAATTGCTTATTTAGGGAAATCTGTTATCATGTTAACTAGATTGTAAGCATCCATGGGAGAAAAAGTTCTCTGACTGGTAAAAATCTCCCGTAGTCCATAGATTTGTGTCTTGTCCATAGGAGTTATTCAATAAATATGTTAATGGACTATTAAAGGTGAATTTTCAAATGTTATCAGAGAAAGAGAAGAAAAAACAAGGGAAGAATTTCACAGTCAGACTGTATCAGGTATTTGACAAAACTTGTATTAGGCAGTCTCTGGATTATACTGATCTACTGTCTTAAAATTAATAAAATCTTTATACTTTTGTGAAATTATTGCTCATAGCACATAGCTAAGAGCTTGATGGGACTTTAGTAAGTACTTTCTCCAAATTTTTTACCTATAGCCACCATCACCCAGCAAAGCTCTCTAAAACTTTGAAGAGAGTAGTTGCTTTAATAGTAACTCCACAAAGTGCTACTCAACAAAGGTAGCAGAGAGCTGCAATTCTGTGCATGAATTCTTGAAGCAGATCCCCTGGAATGGAATCCTTGTTCTGCCACTTTCCATTGGTGTGACCTTGGGCAAGTAACCTTCCTGTGCCTGGTTTCTTCCTTTGAAAATGGGATAATTATAGCACCTATCTCAATGGATCTTATGGTGTTTAAATTTTGTAAATATTTGCAAAGTCCTTAAAACAGTACCAGAAACATAATGAGTGCTTTATTTAACATTTGTTAAATAGAAGGTAGACAGATGTAGCTAGAGAATTCGCTTATTAGTTTTCCTTTTTTCCCCCCTTTTCTACAGATTATGCCTAGTGCTCAACAAATATTGGATGATGAAAATAATACATTTACTTTTCTTAGGGTTGTAAGGATTCATGATGCTATTCACGAGGCAACTGGTCACTTTAATGAGAGTACCACTATTTTTGGCTTTGCTCTCTAGATATTGTATGTCTATATATTTTGTTTACCTGTAGTTGTAAAAGCCATCACACTTTTCCCTCTGGGGGACATTGGTGTTTCATGCATATCTTGGGTAATTAAGATTTTTTAAAATTAAGGATATTTAGCTTTTCTGGCAGTTATGATCTCCGTATGAGAATATGCCTCTTGTAAAGGAAATTCTTTACCCTTTTTCAGAAAAGGAGGAGAAGAAACACAAGAAGTGCCTGATGCAGAGCTCCAGTTCCTACTTTGTGGGTGTGAATGTTCAAGATGCCGTAAAATGGCCATGGTCTTTAGCCATGCACCAATGGTGGTTTTGTGTGTTGGCTGCCCTACTGTCTTCTGCCCAGCCTACAGGGAAAAAAAAGCAGATGTTCCTGTAGGAGGAAGCAGCACTAATATCATTCTGAATCAAGATAAATGGAAAACCATCCCAATAAACACAATTGGATGTTAAAAACTAAGAATATTTATTAGTAATGACGGTTTAATAACAGGTAGCCGAATAGATTCAGGACTCTGAAAAGTCGCTTTTTGGCACTAGGCCTTCATGACAATGTCTGAGAGAGGATGTTGCACATTGGCTCCTGTCTCTGACATTACCTGGCACTAGGCCTTCATGACAATGTCTGAGAGAGGATGTTGCACATTGGCTCCTGTCTCTGACATTACCTGGCACTAGGCCTTCATGACAATGTCTGAGAGAGGATGTTGCACATTGGCTCCTGTCTCTGACATTACCTGTAACTCTAGACAAATCACTTTTCTTTATTCAGGTCTCAGTTTCCCATATGTGAAGAGAGAGAGAGCATTTCCTTCATTTAACTACTGTATAGGCTTGCATTCAGGAGAAGTGAACTGAATGTTCCCCCAAATAATAATTGGGAACTCTCCTAGTGATTTGCAGGATAAATTGAAGGTTAAACAGTAGAATAAGGAAGAACATATTCTCCCCCTGAAAACTTCCCAGAGGCTGGAGGTTATAGGACTGTACCCAGTCATCTTTGTTGAAGTCATCAGATACAAACAAGAAGTAAAACATGTCAATGTATTTTGAGTGCATTGGCAGAAAGTATACTACTTATATTCACAAATTATTTTATATGGATGAAAGTTTTCAAAGGATTGGAGTTTGTGAGAAAGCATTTGTTTGATATTCTGAATGCTCATTTTAGAAGGAAATGAAAGTCTCTATGAGGAAGACAATCCATCTTTATCATAAAGAGTTATTATCCAAATTTGTAAACTATTAAAATCACCTTCTCCACTCTCAAATTTTTATTTCATTTGTGGCAATAATTTTGTTCTTTCTCTTACCAATTTTTAAAAAGGAATATGTGTATTGCTACATTGGAATATTCAACAGCCCATTGTAAGTTTTGTAGTTAATGGAAAGACATGATCTAAATTTCTCAGTCAAATATCTATATGCTTATTAATCACATATTATTTTATCTTTACAAGGTTATATCACCTTGATTGCAGTGCTAGTTTCTCTATAGACAACCTGTTTATATCTTGAGGTATTTATTGATTATCGCTCTCAGCTTCTTTGATATTAGTGCAAATCTCTCCAACTTTCCATTTAAAAAAATTATCTGTTGTTCTGTTTATCCTGTTTATCACCATATCCTTCTTTATGTTCTGTATATGTTTATCACCATATCCTCCTTATTCTTCCACTACACCCCAGTATACCCAATCCTATTTCTGTGTCTATTATTTATTTTATAATACCATATTTCAGAGTATTCCAGTAAGGTTGTTGAAATTGTTCTGAGTTAATATAGTAATTGTTGAAGTATTGTCTGGAAGTTTGAATAAATTTGGGGAGTCGATTGTCTAAGGTGACAAATAATTCAAGAATTCTGATGAGTATTTCTTTTTAGTTGTTTAAAGACAACCCAGTAGCTAAAGGATATATTTTCTCAAAATCAAATAGTAAGATGTAGCCACAGTTAATACAACATGATAAATCTGCACCAGAATCTTTTTATTTTGTCTTTACATCTTAATTGAGCTTAGAGCAAAACATGGGTCAAGATAAGGACTGATTTAAGTCCTCTGTAGGGTTTTAAATTCCAACTGCCAGAATATTTGGTTTTGTTTTATTCCTTTTTATGCGTATTAATTTTCTTGACTTTGTAACAGTAGTGTCAAAAGAAGTTCAATACTTGCAGAGAGAATTTCAAGAACACTCTTATTGTGTAAGATGCAGATTTTTGCAGCTCTCATCTTTGAGACATGCTTTTAATGAAACTGTCTCCATAAACCTGAAATACGTATATTATTGGCACAAAATTCTACAGAGTCTCTGAAATGGGTAAAAATTGTCAGTTGAATCTTATATGTCCATTTAACGATATGTACTGCACATGTTTGGAGGAAAACTGAAATATAGTGATTTTATTAGGTAATAGAGACAGTACTTAATTTTGAAGGTGAAACTGTGTGTGTTTGTGTGTTCATTTGTTGTTGTTTCCCAAAATTAGTATTTGTCAGCATGGGTATCTGTCAGTATGTAATGTCATTTTTCAGAACTATTATTAGTATAAACATTTATTTAGTTGTTCTCTAAAATTCAGAGTACTTTTAAAATAAACATTTAAATGTTAGAACAGACTTAGATTTACAGGAAAATTGGGAGGATAATACAGCGTTCTCATATGACCAGTGTCCAGTTTTTCCTAACATATTAGTACGATGCATTTGTTATAATTGATGGATAATATTGATTAATCATTATTAGCTGAGTTATTATTTGCTGAATGCATAGATTATTCAGATTGCCTTAGTTTTTATGTAATGTTCTTTTTCTGATTTTAGGATCCCATCCAGGAGACCAGATTACATTTAGTTGTCATGTTTTCTTAGGTTCATTTTGGCTGTACATCTTCTCAGTCTTTTCTTGTTTTTGATCACCTTGATTTTGAGAAGTGTTGGTTTGTAGAATGATCCTCAACTAGAAGTTGTCTGATGTTTTCCTCATGATTAGACTGGGATTATGGTGGCTTTTTGGGAGGAGGACCATCATAGGAAAGTCTCATTTGATTATATAATTTAGGGTTACGTGTGATAAATATGATTCATCACTGCTGATGTTAAACTTGTTCACCAAGCTGATTTAGTGCTTGTCATGTTTCTCCATAATAAGATATAATTTTCTTTTTATCATTCTTTCCATATTGTACTTCTTGGAAAAAAGTCACTATACACTCTTAAGGAGTGGCGAACAACTTCTTCAGTTTCTTCTAGGTGGAGTATTTACAACAATTACTTGGAATTCTCCTGCAAGAAAAATTTGTCCATTCCCACCCCCACTTAATTAATTAATTAATTAATTAATATTAATACAAACTCATGGATATTTATTTTATACTTTGGGTTATAATCCAATACTGCTTTACTTTCCTCATTAAATTATTGCAGCTTTGAAAGGACATGTATTTCCTTCCTTCTTTCCTTCCTTCCTTCCTTCCTTCCTTCCTTCCTTTCTTTCTTTCACCTTTCTTTCTTCTTTCTTTCACCTTTCTCTTTCTTTCTTTCTTTCTTTCTTTCTTTCTTTCTTTCTTTCATCTTTTCTTTCCTTCTTTCTTCTTTCTTTCTCTTCCTTCCTTCCTTCCTTCCTTTCTCTCTCTGTTTCTTTCTTTCTTTTTCTTTCTTTCTTCTTTCTTTCTTTCTTTCTTCTTTCCTTCTTTCTTTCTTTCTTTCTCTCTTTCTTGTCTTTCTTTCTATCTTTCTTTCTTTCATCTTTCTGTCTTTCTTTCCCAGCAATATACTGCAGGCTCATCTTGTATATTTTATGCTCCAATCTTAGAATCAACCATTTCTCATTTCTCAAAGGAACACTGCTTCCTGTTATTGGAGAATAGTGTTGGAAATAAAGATCTGGGCATTGGGTCTGCTCATTGCTACTGGGGTGTGTTTACTTTTAGGTACTCTGAGCTTAAAGATCAAGGAAATATGTGTGTATACTAACTCTATGTGTCCACATATCTATACATGTTTATATATGCGAAACCATCTATATTTAAATTAAGCTAAACATGAGATGATACTCATGTCTCCAGCCCTAATGCATCATAGGCCAACTTTATTTTAACTTAACAGGTTTATATGGGAAAGTTATGAGAAGGAAGAACAGGCAACACAGTGTCCCTACTTTGGGGCTGATGAGTCAACAGACTACACTGAGCTCTCACAGAATATAAACAAGTACTGCAATGAAGAAATAAACTACATCCTGAGTAACAACTTTCAACTTTATTATTTACTAGGGTTACACTTCAAATACTTTTAGTGTAACATGCTGAAAATAAATACTTTGCAACTGAAGTCCATTATCTTCGATAAGATAAGAGAGGTGTCAGGATCTTCTAACCTTAGAAGAAGGCCTCAAACACAGACCTACTGGGAGAAAGCTGTAAGAAAGGTATCTCGGTCTATGCGGATTTTACTTTTATAGGCCATGGCTCTTGACAGCCATTGAAAGTTTCTATAAGAGGGACGATTGTAGCTACAGTTCTTCTAATAGATCACTGACCAGTGGGAGTAGGAGGAAAGAACATAGGACCTAGAATAGAAAGAAAATGGACTTGAGGCTCACCTTCATCATTTATTGGTAACACATGTGTCCCAGTGTCTTTAAACCTTAGTTTTTTAATTAAGTGGATAATATTAATTCCTACAAAATTTATTTTAAGCGACAGTATAATGTTTAAGAAAGCTGTGAAATGTGAAATAATAAGACAATGCAAAAGAATTATTATTTATATTATCTTTAGTGGGAGGAGATCATACCCATTAGGTGAC